AAAAAATAATGTATCTAAAATCTTAAATGTTTATGCATGATCATTTGACTTTTTTTTGGTATTTTTTGGTATTTTTTAGTGAAGGGTCTATAGGGTGTTCAGGATCTCACTACTAAATTGGACTTGTAGTGATATGCCTGTTTACAGCCTCCTAAGATCTGGGATTACAGGTACGCACTGCCGGGCCCAGTCTCAGTCACCATCTCAGCATGCCCCGGGGGCAGGGCCGGCATGGCAGGCCCAGGGATTGAACCCCTGGCCCCTGCGCTTGCTTGTAGGCCATCATTTGACTTTGGACAATACTGAATATGCCCTTTTTGCTCATCTTCCCAGGATAGTTTCATTATTTTTAAGTCTTTTATTGTTTTCCTACCAAAATTCTAAATTAAAATTTTAAAAATCTTTTATGTATTTATTTGATACAGGGTCTCACTACTCAGCTCAGACTCCTACTGATCCTTTGGCCTCAGCCTCCTCAGCGCTGGGATTACAGGCCTGCACCACCACCGCGTCTGGGTTCGGTGGCCAGTTTAGCACACCTGAGGGTGGGGCCTGCGAGGCTTGTGGTGTGGGGTTCGAACTTGGGTCCTTGAGTTGCCAGGCAGGTGCTTAGATGGCTGAGCTATCTCCCCAGCCCCAAAATTCAAAATTTTAAATAATATACTAGCCCCTGTTCTATAATTTCATTAACTGTCCATTCTGATAGCATGTATATTTTTTCAAAAAGAGATCTGTGATCATCATTTTCTTTTCTTATGGTGCTAAAGATTGAACCTAGCACCTAGGCACGGAACTGAATCTCAAGCCCCTTTTTATCTTCTGTTTTGAGATAGGTCCTCAAAACAAGTCACTTAGTTGCTCAAGCTGGGCTTGAACTTGTGGTCCTTCTGTGTCTGCCTTCCAGAGTGCTGGAATGACAGGTATGTGCCACCATGCCCTGCCGGAAATTCTCTTATTCTTGAGAATTCTTCCCTTTTGTCTTATCATCTGGAATGTTTGGTAATCATATATCAAACCTCTTAGGTTGTATTTGGCAGATTTTTTCTTATGTGATTTCTTTGTCCTTTTGTTCTCTTTCTTGGATAGTTCCATGATTTATTTTCTTACTGTTTTATATATTTTTATGTAATATAGATTATGTAAATTAGATACTGGATCTTAGTTTTGCTTTTAAAGGAAGCTCTCATTTTCGTAATGTCCTATTAATGTACAGTGGATGAGATAATGTTTCAAATCTCTCTGAACAGGATATATATAATATTATGTATATGTAATCTTTTTTGAAGTTGTCTTCTCTTTCCTGAATTATTTCCTTTAGGGTTGTTTTATTCATTATTATTTTTATTTTTGCTCTCTTCTCTTCTCTTGTTTTGAGTCAGTGTCTAGCCATGTAATTCAGACTGGCCTGAACTAACTGTACTGCCCAGCCTGGCCTCACACTCACTGTGATCCTCTTGCTTCAACCTCATTATGGCTGGGATTACAGGCATGTGGCACCATGCCCGGCTCATTCTTATTTATTTATTTATTTTTGGCAGAACCAGGGATTGAACTCAGGCCCTTGCACTTGCCAGGGAAGCGCTTATTCCACTGAGCCATCTCCCTGGCCCCATATTTTTCTTGCTTTTTTTTATGTGGAATATTTTCCTCAGTGTCAAGTAATCTTATGTTTTACATTTAAGAATTAATCAGCCATTTGATTTAGATCCTGATTAGGATTTTTTAAAAAGCCCATTTTAAGGGGCAGGCCTAATAACTCAGCGGACTAAAGTACCTGCTTAGGTAGAGCGCAGTGGCCAGGGTTCAATTCCTGGTGTGCTGTACTGGCCCCAACCAGGGGCGTGATAAGTCAGTGATTGAGACTGGGCGTGGTGGCACGCGCCTGTAATCCCAGCACTTGGGAAGCTGAAAATAGGAGGATCACTACAAGTCCAATCTACGTAGTAAGACCCTATAGACCCCGTAGACCCTGCCCTCAATACAGAAAAACAAACACAAAAAATCCCCACTTTAAATATAGAGAAAAGCAGAAAGTTTCAAAATTGACTGAATGAGAGATGCAGGGAGGAGAGACAAAGTGATTGGGAAGAGGACAACAAAAGAGAAGGAAGGTGTGTTACGTCCATGTGCCAGCCCTTCATGACAAACGCAGTCGTTACGCACTGCAAGCATGTATGGATAGAAATAAAAACTGAAAAGGAATAAATATTGATTATTAGACTGCTGATGGGGATTGCCATGCCCACCTGCGTGGGGGGTGCTTTGTTATGTTTGTGGTACGGGGAAGGGGACCCAAGGACTCATTCATGATGGGCGAGTGGTTGTGTCTCACAAGGGTCATCTTTTAGCGATGCAAACTGAAGTATTTCAAGTGACATGATGCAGTATCTGGGGTTTTTCCGATTCTCTGCGTGCAAAGAGAATGGAATGAGATGCTGCCACGGCCGTCTTGACAACAGGCGTTGGGGAGGGGTGCATTTGGTGATTCATTATATTCTTTCCACTTTTGTGTCTTTTTTGAAATTTTCCATAAGAAAAGGGGGAGGGGAGCCAGGTGGGGCAAGTCCAGCTTTGGCCCCCTGCCCCAGGGTCTCTTCCAGCCAGCTACCATTCCACCCACATGTCAGGGTGACTTGTTCCTCTCCTGGAGCCAGGAGAACCCACGTCTGCACACTGAAACCCAGGCCTGCATCTGCTTCCAGGAATCTCTTGGAATTGGTTGATGGCATCTCTCCCTTTCTCTTTGTTGTAGATTTATATATGCACATATTTTAATGTTACTATCCTTGTAGTGGAGTGTCTGGGGGGAGGAGACATGTCATCTTCCTGCCATCTTCTTTTTGGAAGTTCCATAAAGATATTTTTAAACAACTGCAAAGCGACTGCATCGAAGAGCACCCTTGCTGGTGTCTTTCCTGGTTGAGAATTAGGATCCAGCAGGTATAAGAGGTGGCAATGACAGGCAGTCCCTCACTGTGACTCACAGTGTCTGCTGCATGGTATGAGCCTGGGAGAAGTGGTATGGCCCCTCTCACCTCATCCTTGGGGCCTGGGCTTTGGCTGTGATTGAGAGGGCCTGTGGACAGTTGGTGGCTCGGATGATCCCTTCCAGGCTTGCTCTCCTAGGTGTGTCCACATCCACAGGGTGAAGGGCCAGCTGTGTTTTGTGGTCACTCCCATCCATGTCCTCATGCTAACAGGCCCGGGACGCATGCAGGCTGTCACTGACAGGTTCTCCAAATGTCGTGGTGCACGTCATCATGCTTCCCAGAATGACAGCCCACTTAAGCTGTAGGAACTGTGTGCTCCTGGAGCTCTCCCTGTAGTCTTTGTAGTCCCCAGTCCATGCTGTGGGACTAAATGTGGAAACTGAGCTGGGAGTTAAAAGTGGGAGGGTCTCTGTAGGCCAGTGATGTCACCTGCCTGTGGGTGGTAGGGGTATCACCCTCCCAATGCAGGGCGGTGATGTTACGCATGTGCTCATGGCAAGGATGTCTCCTTCCTATCTAGGATGGGGGCACTGCTCTCCTGACCCACTGGGCCTGGGAACTCATGGCAGAGTGAGACATCCACCCTGGTGTGAGGAATGGTGCTGAGGCGTAGTGTAGAGAGAAAGTCCTGGCACAGGAAGGCCCTGCCTGGGGATCCTGGGAACCTGAGGACATGGGGATGGGGTGGGGGATGCTGAAGAGGAACCTCAGTCTCCACTGGGTAGCTCGTGAGCATTGGTGGATCACCTAGGGACTTGTGCTAGCTGTCACTCTGAATGTCTCCCTGCAGGAAAAAGGCTCAGGGTGACTGGTCCCTCAACTGAACCTCCCTGGAAGTTGGGGATGGCGCTCATTCCCATAGGGAGGGTGGAACTCCTGTAGAAGGGCTGGGATGGGCCTGCACTACTTGACCTTGGGCAGGAACAGGATGGAAGCATATGACCTTGGGCAGCAACCAGCTTCCCAACCTTGTGCTCTTCCCTGCAGATTAGGGCTCCAGCTCCCAGTGCCTAACCTGTGGCTGCCTGGCCCTCTGTGAGTCTCCCATAACCCTACCAGGAGTCTAGGACACATGCACCTGTCCCCTCATAGTGCTAGAGGCTGACATCCGAGAACGTGGTGCCCAAGGTTGTACTCCCTCATGACTCTGAGAACAGCCTTCCTCTCCCCCTTCTGGCTTCTGGTTGCTCCAGGTACCCCTTGTCTTGTGGACCTGTTGCTCTGATCTCTGCCTAAAGAGGTCTTCATGGCCTCTTCCCTGTGTTTCTACTCCTGTGTCCCTTAAGGACTCTGGTTGGATTTAGAGCCACTCAGATCCTTTGTGGTCCCTTCTGCATCCTTACGTTGGTCCTATCTGTGGAGACCTTCTGACAGCTAGCACAAGTCCTTGCTCTAGACAAGGCCTGTTGAGTTCCACGTATTCCATGATCTTGGGGGTACTGTCCACGTGTGATGTTGGGCCCTGGAGTTTTAGAGGGGTGGTTGAGGGCTTCACTGAGCACAGACCTGGAGATGGTGAGTGGGGAGCTGCCATGTGGGAATCCAGAGGGAGGGGCATGCCACCTGTCAGAACAGCAAGTGCAAAGGCCCTGAGACAGGACCAGGAACAGCTGGTGTGGTTGGAGCTGCATTGGGTACCCACAGGTGTCCTGAGTATCTTCTGTGAGCTGGGCACTGGGGAACAGGAAGGAGCAGAGCCCCCTGTGGTGGCATCAGACCCTGAGAAGCTGACGTCAGGCACTGGGATCCAGCCATAAGTGCTCCTTAACCTGAGAGTTGCCTGAAGGTGGGTGTTCTGGCAGAGTTGTCCAGTGAGGAGCAGGTAGACTTAGAGAGGCCCTTGAAACCCAGGGCAGGAGGAGGAGGAGCCGGCAGGTGTGATGGTGGCCAGGAGCTTGTGCAGCATGCTGGGTCCCTTGCCTTGCCCTGGCCCCGGAGGCCTCTCCTTCCGCTTGGCTATGCCCTGATGGCCAGTGACTCATCTCTTCCCATTCCCTTCTCTTGATACAGGAAGAAAACCGGCAGATTCTGGCCCGGCAGAAGTCAAACTCACAGTCCGACTCCCACGATGAGGAGGTGTCCCCGACTCCTCCAAACCCTGTGGTCAAGGCCCGGCGCCGGCGAGGGGGTGTGAGCGCTGAGGTCTACACAGAGGAGGATGCAGTCTCCTATGTTAGAAAGGTAAGGGCCTGGTGGGATCCACCTGCCAGATCCCTGGCACCCCTAGGGGCCCCTGTCACTCCTGGGGCCTCCATTTCCCCTCCAGTCAGACAGATTGGAGACACGTGGGGTGGGAGACATGGTCACTAGTGGGCTAGGAGTCACCATCATCTCTGAGCTGAGTGCACGTTTATGGGAGGGGTGTGCATGTACGTATGTGTGTGCATGTGCATATATGTGTGTGTGTATTGTGTATATGTGTTGTGTGTGTCTGCAACCCCACAAGGCTTTAGATTCTAGTAGGCTCAGGGAGGGGACAGGGCAACCACCCAACCCTGGGGTGTGGTGGGTGTGGTTCTGACCTGCAGGAGGCTCGCTGGTCTCCTAAGGGCCTTAATCCTGGCAGATCCAGGTCCATAAATCCACCTTCTAGCACTTTATTTCCCCTCTTCCACACAGGTGATAGGGCTCCAGTACAGGAATTAGGGGCACAGTCGGGCCACACCCCGATCCTGATCACATTAAGCACCTTCACAGTACTGTGTCACCATCAGTGCCACCCACTCTGTACCCTTTTGTCACTCCCCCTGCCCATTCCCAGCACTTTTATGCTCAGATGATAAAACTGAAAGTATGACTTAGACTTCGTGAGGGCACTTCCCCTCCATAGTGTCCTTCCCCAAACCCAGCCCTGCCCTGTGAACGTAAGGAAAGCCTCCCCAAGCAAGGGACACTGCAGCATGTGACCAGCACACTGTGCAGACATCAAAAAATAAGCTATTGGAAGTCAGGGAAGGCTGAAAAGTATCCCAAGCCAGAGGAACCAAGACACAGGACTGCTAGTTGTGACTGGACGGGGTACTGGGGCAGGGCAAGGCCCCTGAGGAAACTGGGAGATCAGAGCAGGGGTTCAGCTGCTGGGTGGACAGGCAACGCGCAGGAGGAAGGAAGTCTTTACAGCTACTTAAACGGAAACTTCTAAAGAAGCCTGCTAGGGTTGGAGTGGCATTTCAGGGTCTTCCTCATGGGGTCATCATGGGAATGTTTTGCACATCAACGAAGAGGCTGATGTCACAGGCACCGCAGCAGAATCCTCTTGGGTATAGCCTGATAGCCTCATGGTCGGATTGCAGGGTACCCTGGGGAAGTAGGGTGCTTGTGCTTGTCTATCACTTAGGTACTTTAAGTTAGACCTTTGGATCTAAGACTCCCTCCAGGCCCACCCACTGACCTGACTCAACCCACTGACCCATCTCTTCCTGGGGATCCTGGTCCACCCTGTTGGCACCTGCCCACCCTGACCCCTTTTCTGTTTTTACCTCTTCCTCACTTTGTCCACATCCCTGTGGGTGTGGTCCTAAGCACCACATGCCTATCTTTTGGGAGCTTTCAATTTTAAACAACTGCTAATTACTTCTTTTAAAAGCCAGTAAAATAAATAAATCAAGAAAAGACAATAAGCCCAAGACCTGGCTGTCTTCTAGACCTTCTGGTTAGCTCTGAAGCCTAGGAGAGCCAGTCAACAACCATCCGAGATTCTAGACAGTGCCCACACTGCCTCTTGCTCACAATGGATTTCTCTCCTTTTATTTTAAAAATTAAAACAATCCTAAAGTATACATAAAGGATGCCTGTTTAGCATCACCGATACTAGTACTCTTTCCATGTGCAGTCTGATTTTTCTTGGCTCCCGCAGGTCATTCCCAAGGACTATAAGACCATGACTGCCCTGGCCAAGGCCATTTCCAAGAATGTGCTGTTTGCCCACCTGGATGACAATGAGAGAAGGTAGGATGGCCCAGTGTGGGGTCCCCTGGGTCTGCACAGTACTGCACCCCTCCCGGGCTCCAGGACCAATCACAAGGCCAAGTCACAGAGAACCAGGGCTTCAGGAGAGGCACATCACCGCTTCCTGGAGCTGGGGACTCACAGGGCAGGGGGCCGCAGAAGCTCTGTGCTGTGTGTACCCCTGTCCTGTTCGAGACAGACATCCCAGCCTCTGCCTCCCTCCTATGCTGTGTGCATCCAAAGCTTCCCACATCCTGAGCCTCCCCGCCGTGCTTCCTTTTGCTCTGATCATATGGGCTGAATGTTCTGGCATCTTCCTCCCACTGTCACACGGAGTGATACTGTTCCACAGAGCGTGTGCCTGCTCCTGTCTGCTCAGGGCCCTGGGCCAGTGGCAGGGAGCCTGAGTGTCCACCAGCAGGCAAGAGGTTGGTTATTTCTGGGGAAAGAGACCTGAGGGCTGGAAAGGACTCGTGTGTCCCATCTGGGATGGTGGCCATGTCAGTAATTGAAAAGACCAGGATATGAGGTAGAAAGTAAAAGTATTCCCTGTCACCCAAGTCCCAGAGGTAATTCTGGGCATGCTTGGGCCATCTTTGAGGATCCTGACTCCATATGTAATCATAAGATGGATCTCATACCACACTGTCACATTTAGATGTCCTAAATATCTCTGTCAGAGAGCATTTTTAGGGTTTTTTTTTTTTTTTTTCCCTATCTGTCTTTGTGGGGTTGTAGCTCAGCTGCCTTCATACTGTGGCTATTTATGTGTGTATATATATATAATTTTGAAGCCCCGGGGCATGTGTCTGTTTTGGGCCTTTGTTTTGCCCAGAGGAAAACTCACTTTCCATATTGACACGTTGGGCTCCTTTTTCTGCAGGGTCATCTGTGAGTTTTTGTCTATTTTCGTAGGATAAATTCCTCAGTGCATATCAGGTGTGGTGATACACACCTGTATTCCCAGGACTCTAGGAGGCTGAAGCAGGAGGATTGCAAGTTAGAACCCAGCTTGGGCAGCTTGGTGAGACCTTTCCTGAAAATAAAGAATAAAGGGTTGGGATGTAGTTCAGTGGTAGAGCGCTTGCCTGAACTGTGCAAGGTCCTGCATTCGATCTGCACTACAAGCAAACAAAGAACCACAGTGGGTGTGGGTGTACAAGGCATTGAAAGTCCGTTGGTACCTTTTGTTAGGTTCTTACCTGGAAGGGCTGGAGGGGGCAGGCCAGAGGATCTGTGCTTAGAGGAGACCTCCTGACTACCCACTTGCCCACACTTTCGTGGGTCAGGGAGTCTCTCTGGTTCCCAGGTGGAGTGGCGTCTGGTATAGTATGTGCAGGGCCATGTGTCAGAGCAGCCCTGGTCACATCTGTGCCCAGGAGGGACCCCAGGAAGGCATCTTTTGGGGGAGGACTGAAGCCAAGGTAGAAGGATAGCTGGAAGCATTGTGTAGGGATGCCCACATAAGTCTAGTGCAGCTGAGGTGACTTTCTTCACACCCCAAGATATGGGGTGCTCTTATCTTACTTCATGGTCAAGGAGACACGGTGCTGCTTCTTGGGTTACTGGGAAGACCTGAGTTGTTCTGGATGCGGAGAAGGACTTGGGTTCTCCAGCCCGGTCCACTCAACATGGGCCCAGTGGCAACTGTCCATTCTGGAGGGCACACAGGCCCTAGTGAGGGGCATGGGGCAGGCCCCCCAAAGGTACAGATGAGCTGGTCCCTGGGACCTAGGAGTCTCCTCCTGCATGCAGCACAGTAGGACTTTGCACACGTGACTAAGTAGAGGTCCTGGGTTCTCTGGTGTGCTTGAAATGCTGCCACGTATGTATGTCCTTCTGAGAGGGAGGTGAAGGGAACTGTGTGACCACAGAGTCAGGCCCATGTGTTGTGGCCCCCAGTCGGGACTTTTGGAGCCACGAAGAGCTGAAAGAGGGGAGAAGGGGCCATCCACACCTAGATTTCCATCTGGTCCTTCTGACCTTGAACTTCTCGCCTCCAGAACTGTTGAGAGAATAAACTTGTGTTGCTTTAACCTTGGTTCATGGCACGTGGCTGCAGAAGCCCTGGAGTTCTCATGTCCACCTGACAATGATGTCCCCTTGGGGAGGTGGCCTGGTCACCAGGGGGAATCAGGTAACTTAAGTGTCGTATCTATGCCTATCCAGCCTTGTCTTGGCTGGGCTGTGGGAACTGTTGTGACTGAAGTGTTGTATCTATTTTAACCTGAATCTGAACAACAGTTTGCTGTGTAATTTCAGTGCAGATTTTGAATGAGTGGTATATTCACAGGGCTAAAATTTCAGAAGATGCAAAGGAATCCATTTGGACTCTGTTCCAGGACACTTGTTCAACCCTGGCTGGATCTTTCTGGCCCTTCAGTGGTGCCCTTCTGTAGACAGATACTCCCTGCACGTAGGCAGGAGGCTACCTGGTCCACTTGGTTGATGGCCATGTAGTTAGAAGTCTTTGGGGACAGGGTGATGAATGATCAACCAGTCTCTTCTGGCCTGGCTAACCTCTTGTGCTGAGTGGAAGGAGTCACCTGTTGGTGGACAAGAAGCTGTGGGCACACCCTGATTTCAGCTGACCTGACCTCCCTGGTTGCAGGCAGCAAGCCCTGCCCTTGCAGCCCTTTATAGCTGGGAGGCAGGTCACTGTGACAGCCTAGGGTTGTGGGGAGGGAGGTCTCTGCATCCTGGAACCAGGTGGGCAAGAAGCGAAGGAAGCAGATGGCTGGATTAAAGACTGCTTTGCAGGGCTGGCCGGGAGAGGAAGCCCGGGGCGTGTGTCTGTTTTGGGCCTTTGTTTTGCCCAGAGGAAAACTCACTTTCCATATTGACACGTTGGGCTCCTTTTTCTGGCCTCTGTCTAAAGAAATA